ATACGACTCCGAAACCAGGCAGAGAAGACACGTGGGAATGCAAATACCACTACAGATTTGGTGACAAAGCAAAACGATGTGAATCACCGTGTTGTAGAAGAAAGAAAACCACCACATCTTTAAACTAACTCCGACACCGACCGTAGCGGACGTCGGTGTCATCAACACTAACAACCGCCTATGTGTACACGATTACGACACACACGAACGCTTCCTCGTGGACACAGGCGCTGATATATCAATATTAGCAGCAACAAACAAGAAAAAACGTCAGCAATCGAAAGCGCCTTACAGACTTTACGCAGCAAATAATACGCCAATCAACACTTACGGCGAAAAAACTATTAAACTTAATCTTGGACTCAGACGCTGTTTTCAATGGAATTTCGTCATCGCTGATATCAAGACATCGATACTGGGCGCCGATTTCCTACGACATTTCAAACTTCTAGTAGACCTACATAACAAAAAACTCATAGACAAGACCACTGAACTGTCTATCAATGCACTACAAATCACAAGTAATTCTGAGTCATCAATCCACATAGTCAGCAACGATCAAGCCTATCGAGACATCATCAAGCAATATCCAGACGTACTACGGCAACAACCACTCAAACAATATGCGAAACATAACGTCGTTCACCGGATAGAAACTAACGGTTCCCCCCTGCACGCCCGCCCCCGCCCCCTACCGCCAGATAAATACAAATTGGTGAAAGAAGAGTTTCAGCGCATGTGCGAGATGGGCATCTGTAAACCGTCAAAAAGCCCATGGGCTAGTCCACTCCACGTAGTGAAGAAAAAAGATGGCACACTACGGGTTTGCGGGGACTACAGAAGATTAAATGCTGTAACATTACCCGATCGCTACCCAATACCTCGAATTCAAGAATTCACTTATCAATTGAATGGCAAGAAAATTTTCTCCAAATTAGATCTGAAAACAGCATACTACTCCATACCTACAGCTGAAGATGCAGAAAAGACGGCCATCATTACACCATTTGGCCTCTTTGAGTTTAACGTCATGCCGTTTGGATTACGAAACGCAAGTCAGACATTCCAGCGTTTCATGCACGAGGTCCTAAACAACATAGAAGACTGTTTTTGTTTCGTCGACGACATTCTTCTATCATCCGAAGATGAGACATCACATAAAGAACTCATTCATCAAGTTCTCGCAAGACTCGACGAGTATGGAGTAACATTAAACATCGACAAGTGTGAATTCGCTAAGAAAAAAATCAATTTCCTTGGTTACGAGGTATCGGCAAATGGAATTAAACCTACAGAAGAACGAGTAGAAGCCATATCCACGTACCCAAAGCCGAAGAACATCATCGAACTCAGGCGATTCTTAGGCATGTTAAACTTTTATCGTAACTGCCTTCCACAACAAGCAGAACTACAGAGCGAACTCAACAAGTATCTCCATAATCAGAAGAAAAATGACAAGACACCAATCAACTGGACGCCTGAGGCAGCAACTGCATTTGAAAATTGCCGCCAAAGCATTTTACGTGCCGCAACACTAGCCTACCCAATCCAAAACAGCAAGCTCAGCATCATGACCGACGCCTCCGATCACAGTGTCGGTGCAGTATTACAACAAAATGTCAAGGGAACCATTCGACCACTGGCATTTTTCTCGAAGACGATGAGTCCAACGCAACGCCGCTACAGCGTCTACGATCGAGAGCTACTAGCGATGTACTCAGCTGTAAAACACTTTCGTCAATGGATAGAAGGCGGTGATGTAACGATATACACAGATCATAAACCACTCTCGTATGCGCTTACAAGAACTATCAACAGCAGCGACACACCGCGGCGGGAACGACAACTACATTTCATTAGCCAGTTTTGCTCAAAAATACTATACATAAAAGGAGAAGAGAACGCTGTGGCCGACGCTATGTCACGAATAGAAGAAATCAATTGTCCATCAACCATCGATTTCAACAAACTAGCATACGACCAACAAGAAAATGAGGAATTAAAACAAATTCGAAAAAAACCCAATCTAAAATTCTCCGAAATTGCTCTACCTGGGATGAATCAACCAATCATATGCGAGACCTCCACTGCATCGCCAAGACCGTACCTACCTAAACAATATCGTTTTGTTGCATTCAAAGCTCAACACGATCTGTGTCATCCAGGGATACGAGCGACAAGAAAAATCATGAGTATGAAATACTTCTGGCCGGGAATGAATCACGACGTGGGAACATGGACGAAGACATGCATCAACTGTCAACAATCAAAGATACATCGGCACGTAGTGACTCCGCACAACGAATTTCCTTCGTCACAACGATTCGAACATATTCACATCGACATAGTCGGACCAATGCGACTGTCACGTGACTGCCGATACTGTATCACCATCATCGACCGTTGTACGAAGTGGCCTGAAGCGATTCCTGTTTCCGACATCACAGCAGAAGTTGTCGCAAAAGCACTGTATGATAACTGGATCGCACGATTCGGATGCCCGCTCCGCATATCCACAGATCAAGGTCGACAGTTCGAGTCATGTCTCTTCACTGCATTAATGAAGAAACTGGGCATTACAAGAATACGTACAACGGCGTTCCACCCACAATCAAATGGACAGATCGAAAGATGGCATCGTACAATGAAAGCTGCACTTATGGCTCGACAAGCATCAACGCAGTGGGTAGACGAGTTACCTACTGTGCTATTAGGACTACGAACTGCGCTTCGAGCGGACAATGCCCTAAATCCCGCACTCATGACCTACGGCACAACGCTGCGTGTTCCATCCGACTTTTTCGTGCCCACAGAGTCAAAAATTGAATTAATAAAATGAAAACCAGAAAACCATTAGTAGGTTGGAATACACATGTAAAAGGGGTATATTTGGAGGCCAGGTTTCATTTCAAAACTGGGTCTGGCATGGTAGGCCATCAGCTGGTCACCTTTATGAAAAAATGTTTATTAGTCGTAGAATATACAAATCTAGACTAAAATGGTGCCAAAATCATGCCGACCAGATTGCGATGGATATTTTGGCAACTAAACTCTCAGAAAAAGATTTCAAAAAATTTTGGCAATGTACAAATAAATTTAATGTTAAACAAACCCTTGCTGAATGTATTAATACAGAAAGAGATCCACAGAAAATTGCGAATATATTTAAAAGTCACTTTCAATTAAGTTCACCTTTATCTACTTTGTATGCTGCGCAATATATAGAGAAAAATATTAATTCTGAGGATCATAGGAGTATACAAATCACATCTAAAGATATTAAAAATATAATAATGAATATGACAAGGGGCAAATCACCTGGGCATGACGGCCTGAGCATTGAACACCTTCAGTATGCAGGGTGTCATTTGCCCGGAGTGTTGGCTATGTTTTATTCTTTATGCTTGGGACACGGCTATCTGCCTCAGGATCTCATGAGAACTGTTGTTGTGCCAATTGTCAAGTGTAGGACTGGTGATATTTGTGACAAAAGTAACTACCGCCCCATTTCATTAGCCACTATCTTGGCGAAAGTACTTGACAGTCTGCTTAATGCGCATCTCAGGGGAAATGTTAAAATACATGAGGCACAGTTTGGTTTCCAGCCTGGACTTTCTACTGAGAGTGCTATATACAGTGTAAAGCAGACTGTCAAGTATTATTTAGAACGAAAGACACCAGTCCTCGCGTGCTTTTTGGACTTGTCAAAAGCCTTCGACCTGGTGTCTTATGAGATCCTGTGGAACAAACTTCAAAAGCTGAATATTCCTACTGAACTGATTGGTATTTTTAAGTATTGGTATGATAATCAAATTAACGTTGTTAAATGGGCGGATAAAATATCTGAAGAGTATGGATTGGAGTGTGGGGTGAGACAGGGTGGTATATCCTCGCCTACACTTTTTAATATATATATGAATAGCCTGATCGCTGAGTTCAGCAGTATGCATGCGGGCTGTTACATAGACGGGATTGCTGTGAATAACTTGAGTTACGCTGACGACATGGTGCTGCTGCTGAGTCCATCAATCAGAGCTATACGTAAATTGCTAAGCGTGTGTGAAAAGTATGTTGAAAAACATGGTCTGAAATATAATACACAAAAAAGTGAATTTATGTATTTCGGTCTAGGTAGTAAGAATCCACAAATCCCGCCAATTCTTCTAAACGGTGTTCCTCTCAATAGAGTGACTCAGTTTAAATATCTAGGACATATTATTACCGATGACTTGAAAGATAACGCTGACATTGAACGTGAACGCAGGGCGCTGGCTGTAAGGGGTAATATGTTGGCTCGCAGGTTTGCTCGTTGCTCGACTGAAGTCAAAATAATATTGTTCAAGGCATATTGCCAATCTTTTTACACGAGCAGCCTGTGGGTTGACTATACACAGCGGGCATACAGTGCTCTGCGTGTTCAATACAATAATGTTTTCAGGGTGTTGTTACGGCTGCCACGTTTTTGTAGTGCATCCACAATGTTTGCAGCGGCATGGACAGATGACTTCTATGCCATCAGACGCAAACGGATTGCATCTCTTTTATACCGATTGCGTGGCAGCAGTAACGGCATTCTGAGGGCATTATGTAATAAATACGATAGCCCGATCCTCTCATTGTGGGTCAAAATTATTATAGGGGCTATAAAATGAATTTTGTATTTTTTTCTCTACTAACATAGTTTAAGTCAATTGTTACTAACAAAAATGGATCTTAGTAATCCGTAAATAAAGAAAATATTATAATATTATAAAAAATCTGCGATGCAGACTTCATGCGTCAGCTAACCAAGACAATGGCAACATTGAAACCAGTAGCTCGTTCCAACCGCTCGCAAGAAAAACCATTCGTCTATAAGGATTTAGCTACGTGCACACACGTCTTTGTACGAAACGACACCGTACGGGCACCGTTAACACCACCGTACGACGGCCCGTACAAAGTACTACAGCGCTACGACAAGTACTCGTATTACAAGATACAGCTACCATTACGCACGAGCGTTGTATCATTAGACCGCCTCAAGCCCGCCTACATTTATGAAGACTCGGACGACTACACAGCTTCAAACACGACGAGTACGAGTACTACTGCTATACCTGTTCTTGTTTCAACACAGCCTCAGCGACCATACATCACAAGATATGGCAGGAGCGTCAAGCCAAATGTACACTTCGCTACAGGGGGAGTCATATAGGTGCTTAGCAACACACGTGCTGAACATTACAATCGGCAAGTGACTGTCTATACAAATATCACAGGAACAAGACGACAAGATGTTGCGAGAAGGACAGAACGAGTAACACCGCTAGCCAATGGACGTCGGGCGGGAAAGAGACAGCGCCACTGCGGTTAGAGTAGGATGAAGTAATGCTTGCCTATAAATTGCGGAGAATTCTGTAAATAAATCAGTCTAAACTTATCGGCCTTTCCCTTCACATCTACTAATAGTGCGATCCCAACAATACTATTTAACGGTAACCGCGTCGCGACTTCAGTCCCGACGGTGAATTTTAAATATATGGAAACAATATGAAAAATTTAAAATTAACTACATAATATTTTTTTTGTAATCCTACAAAATTTTGCTAATCAGAAAAAAAGGCCTGCGGGATTACTGCATCGACCTCTGGGATTTAATTTATATCCGAGATCGTATTATATAATTTAGATGATCTATAATTGACGGTAAAACTTGCACCAAAGAGAAGCGGTTACAGTCTACCATATACAGTATAGATACAGAAGAAATAATAGTTCATACGTAGATTACGTATTTGATGTGCGCAGACGCAGGCACCTGTACTGTACGATTGCAGTGTTTAGTGTACAATGATCGCGCGCGCAACTCTCGCGTACTTACTGCTGTGCGCAGGCGCCACTCTCGCGCAGGTCAGTGAAAAATGGGGATTTCTTTTGAGAGAATACCTTTTGAAGTTTAATTGTTGTGTCGAGTGAATAAAAAATGGCTTGTTATGCTTTCATGATTTACGAGTATAGAATGAATTTATAAAGGAATAAGTATATGATTTGTTTACTAATGAAAAAGGTGCAATAAGATGCGCCTTTTTTCTGATCAGATGCGAGACTCGTATGTTATAATGTTTAATAAGTAAATCTATTGTTTTAAATAAATTCAATTATAAAATATTCTTTATTACATCTGTAAATTACATTGTTAATGCATTTATAAATATTGTGAGAAATAGTGGAGTTATCTCTGACAGAGATCTCTTCCAGTTAACCTAATACAGTTGGAAAGCATGTCTTATCTAATTTATTTATATGGTATTTTTTCTAATGGATGATAATGGAATGGTAACCCCACCCGCGCTATTGGTATACACTGGCGGGGCACCAGTGAAGGATAATAGGTGAGGATGATAGGTGAGGATGAAGTAGGCCAGTTAGCCCATCGTGACGAATTCAACAAGAATTGTTCACGATGGTTTCCAGGGGGAACCACGTGGAGGTCGACCTAATAAGGTATATTGCTAGCAATGGGGCTGTCAAATTCCATTGCTAACAATCTTTTTCCCCCCTGGCAACCGCATTTAGGCTTTGGTGATGTTTTAAGAGGGACGCTGTTGCCTATCCCTCGACTATGAAGTTCCCTTAGTTGCCTCTTAAGACACCAACGGGAATGGGAGGGGTGGTCCATTCTATGTCAGGACCACAGGGCAAAAAAACGTATTTATTATATTAACAGAATATTTCATCCTAAATAAATTAATGAAGTAATCGACACTTTTATATATATATTATTGTCTGTTTACTGTACATCTGTCTATCTACTGTATAGATAACCTGGTGGTATTGTTTTATTGTTACCTTATTCCCTTTGGCCGCAACAGAATATCAGTGCTTTGCTCTTTTGAAGGCGAAGCAATAAACTGAGTTGTGACCATTTTGTATTGTTATGGCACACTCACAAACGAAAAATTGTATTTAGCTTTATGTATATTTTTTAATAATTTATGTTATCTCGCTTTTTATTTATATCTATATATGTTGTAATTTGTGTGCTGTAAGTGATGCAAATAAATTATCTATCTATCTATTACGAGAAATTATAATATTTACGTAAATATCTTAGAGCGTGGTAGGACTTTATGTTTGTGTATACAGCGCATGCCACACTATATATTTGGACTGTTACTGTTAACATTACAGATTATACTGTTGTCTCAGCACATAAATTAGATAAAGTTTACGTATCTACGTAGCTAATCGAAAAAAGGGCGACCTTGCTTTGGTTTTTGGGTCAAATTTACACGTACCTACCGGCTTTCTGATTGATATTTCCAACCAACTTCGAAAAGAAGACTTTGTACAAAAGTCGTTTGCTTGGGCAACTCTGTCCCATTCGTGTTTCAACCGTAAAGCAGTTGTGTTTGCATGGTTGTGTGTCGGTTTGAAGGGTAGGATATGGCGTGAATTTACTGGGTACGGAGGAATAACACCCGAGTCCACAGGAATGGCAACGCATGGGGGGTATCATGGGCGAAACAGTATACTCTGTTATGTCCATGGCACTGCTCATGTCTATAGGCGACGGTTACCACTTTCCATCAGGTGGGCCGTCAGCTTGTTTGCCATTCTAAGTTGTATAAAAAAAAAGAAGGAGTTTGGATTAGGATATATTAAATTAATGTAATAAAAAGTTACTTATTATCCTTCTTCCTCGCAAATAGTACTTTTATATTAAATTATTACTATTAATTCAGTTCTTAATATGCTAAAAGGTAAAACATACACACACTTTCATATTTAGTTGTATCCCGCGGCTTCGTTCACGTAAATCAGTATATTAGGTATTCTATATGCTTAAGTTGTGTATCCAAATTAGGATATATCCCACCCATGTACCTATTCGTTTAGTAGTCTTTGCGTAAAAAAATAACAAACAAATCCATATAAACATCAATTTAAATCTAGTTGTATTTCGTAGTTTCACCCGCGTAAATAAGTATTTTTTTTTTTTTATTATTTTGTTATTGATAGACGGTATTTTTCAGGCAGTAAGATCCGTGAAACTGCGATCTTTCCATGATCATTCGTGACCCGCCCCTTTTCTTGTCAATCAGTATTCGAAGTATTTTATTTTATTTTATCTTTATTTGGTCTCCCAGCAATTGTTACACTGATAAGATTTATTATTAAAATCACTGTCTATTTATACATAGTGTACAATCATTTTAAAGGAAACACAGCATGCATGCTAATTAACAAATAAACAATAATATGGCATAACAAATTCTTGAGATATTTGACATAGGTATAGTTTTTTAAATTCAAAACTATCCTATGTACTTGTTGAAAATAATAAGCTCAGTTCGATAAATAATAAAAAGTCTGTACTTTGTTAGGTTCAGAAGAGAAAAAAATACGAGACATGTCTTATAAAAACCTGACACAGAACAAACATAAAAATAATACATTGTTCTAAAAAACCTCAGTGTCAACAGCCAGTATTAAAACTCCAACAGTACTGAGTTATGATACTATCTGTGTATAAATTTTTATTACAATCTGTTAGATAGATAGATAGATAAACACTTTATTTGAGCCATTTATGACACACGTAAACTAATAAATAAATTTATACAATCTGATTATTTACATTTTTTCAAATATAAAACAAAAGATGAATATTGGAGATATGTTTTGACCAAGTGTGTCGCAGTGACCCAAAAAGGCTACAGCTCAGTGATACTTTTGCTTAAAAGCAAAGCACTGATTTTCAGCTGCAACCTGAAGTAAGGCTACACGGACGCGTGCAACAATCCATCGTTACAAACATTAGCATTTATAATATTAATAGGATAGTAGTCGGATTCCAACACAAACTATTCCACTGTCCTTGAACAAGAAAATACCAAGGTCGCGTCCACACGTCGGCGTGACGTCACGAGCTGCATCCGTTGGATGACGTCGAACGCATTCGCGACTGCACGTGCATTCACCACTGTATCATTAGAACATGGGCGCGAATATAAAACTAAACATAAATTCATATTGTTTTCAGTTCACATATAGACGTAAGTGAATATAAATGAGTTCATTCCAAGTTGTTATTATATAACTACTGTAACAATAACTGCTTTTTCTTTTGTGCTATGTATTTTTTTTTAATGGATGATAATGGAATGGCAAACCCCATCCGCGCTATCGGTATACACTGGCACCAGTGAAGGATGATAGGTGAGGATGAAGCAGGTCAGTTAGCCCATCGTGACGAATTCAATGAGAATTGTTCACGATGGTTTCCAGGGGGAACCACGTGGAGGTCGACCTAATAGGGCATATTGCTAGCAATGGGGCTGTCAAACTCCATTACTAACAATCCCTTTCCCCCATTGTGCTATGTATTGGATTTGAGTTCCCAAGCAGTTGCGTTTGCGCTTTTGGTGTACGCTCGCGTATGCCAAGGTTTGCAGCTGGTTGACTTATGTAATAATACTTACTGGCCCATGTAAATATATATATGAAATATGCATATGTGTGAAAACACATTTACATTTATTTAAAAAAATATGTGTTTATTCGTTAAGATACATACAAAAATACAAATCTTTCCTCTTTATAATATTAGTATTATAATATAATTATATTACGATAATTAATTAATTGATAATATACATATATTTCATATACTAAAGTAACTAATTACTTATAGTAAATTAGTATTAATTAGTAATAAATTTAATTAGTAGATATAATTTCTGCCCATTAGCTACATGAGTCAATGTTTGTTTGTTTACACTACAAATAAAAATAATACTAGACTACTTAACCTCGCACTGGAGCAATATTGTCTACCTAAGAGATACATACATACATACATATCTGTCACGCCTGTCTCCCATTAGAGTAGGCAGAAACAATGGAACGCCAAATGCTTCGATTCAAACAAACCTCTTTCGCTTCTTCCACATTTATCAATCTTTTCATATACGCTCGCCGGTTACGGGTACTTTTAATTTGGCCCTTCTTCAGCACGTCGCCTATTTGGTCGACATACGTCCGTCTAGGGCGGCCCCTACCGACATCTCCATTCATTCTTGCTCGATAAATCTCTTATATATTTTACTAATATGATAAAACTGTAACTTATTTTTTTTTTATACAACTTAAAATGGCAAACAAGCTGACGGCTGCTGACGGGTAGATATCGGTGCCAAATTTACCAGAAAAAGTAAATAAAAAAATAATGCTGTAAATATTTATTAGGTATAATTTCGTTTAACGTTACCAAAATACCAACTGGGCTATTAGAGTCGTCAAGTAAACTTTGTCGGGAAAAATTATGTATGGGGACATAAAATTTTAGAAATGTTCAAGTGGGGCATGACACAGAAAAGGCTGGGAAACACCGGTTTAGTGTACAATAGGCTTTGTTCTAAATAACAATTTTAATTTATAAAAGGCTCATTAATTCCTTATAAGCTTTTATACAATGCTGTACAGGAGGTTTTACCAAAGGGAGACTTTGTACAAAAGTTGCTTGCTTGGGTACCTATGTCCCGTGTTTCTACCGTGAAGCAGTTGTGTTTGCATGGCTGTGTTTCGGTTTGAAGGGTGGAATATGGCGTGAATTTACTGAGTACAGAGGAATAACACCTGTGTCCTCAGGAATGGCAACGCATGGGAAGTATTATGGGCGAAACAGTATAATCTATTATGTCCATAGTACTGCTACAGATGGGCAAAGCACCGGGTTTAAACCCGGTGCTTTGGTAAAAACCCAATAAACACCCATAAACTCCCATAATCACCCAAAAAAATAGGTTTTTACGTATTTTTTTGAAAATATGTAAGTAATACCAATAAATTATTTTTATAAATTGTATTGATCAATTCTACAATATTAAATAAAACGTTAACTAATAATATTTCAGGAAATTTTAAAAATCTATATATAATAAAATGAAAGTAATTAATTTTCAGTGTTTTCATGTTGCAGTTGATCAACATGTTGGCCTTTTGCTTCCCGTAGATACTTTAAAATTTCTTCATAACACCTCGTTCGCACACATGGCCGTATATATTTAAATTCTTGAGCCACTAACAGTCCGAAATACTCATTTCTTTTATCCTCTTCTCCATAAATTAAGCATTTAGAACAGTTTGTTTCTTCTTTCAGTAAATTTTCTTTTACTTTATCCTCGTTTTTTTCTTTGTTGCGACGACGCTGGGTAAATCATCTGGACACTGGGTCTCACTATCGCCAAATATATTTGGAGATCGGCTTCGGCTACGGCTTGGCAGACATTTTTTTCTTTCTACAATTTTAAATTAAATTTATTAGAATAAATGCTTCGAACACACGCGATCTAAGTACCTTTTGTGTTTATTATACCTTACCTACCTAGGTATAAAAAGAGTACTTACGTAGATTTTCTTTTATTAACTGTTTTATACGAAGATCTTGATCTCTCAAATTAGCATCCATTTTACTTCCAGTGATTATCAACTAAATTAATAATCCACAAAGTATTAAATAACGTTTTTATGAAATATTTAGCACAAAAACAATACCCTTTAAATATCGATCGTCAGTAACTGTGGCTGACTTACCTATATTCTAGCAAGCAGGACTGCCAGATGTGAAGGGGAAATCCCCAATAAATTGTTGCATGTGACTGATGATGTGAGCATGTTCGTTTCATAATAAAAATGTTGCCAGGTAACCAAAAAGTCGTATGTTTTTGTGCGAATTACGATCATAATCTTTACGATCGTACATTAAAAAATAGACAAATAATAGTATGAGTACGATTTAAATCGTATATCTGTCAACCCTGCTAGCAAGATTTCGTACACAGCGACAAAATCACGTTGCATAACAATGTAGCCCAAGCTTATATCTTATGAAATATACGGAAGAGATACGGACTTAGAAAAACAGAAATGTTGTTCTTTGTGGAAGTCATTGATGAAATTCTATGTATTTTAGCCCGCAAACTTTCTTCAAACAAAAACAGCGCCATCTAGTATCGAGTTCTGTAATTATCTCTTTGTTTATGGATTTGAAGTAAGACCGCCACGCATGCAATACATTATGACTGGGGATTCCCCTATTCGTCGACGCTGAATATGAGGCGACGACAATCACTGTCAAACGTGTTCACTATTACTCTGACTCTGGTAACGTGACTTCCTGGTAACGTGTTAGGTAGGAAAAGCAGTAAAAAAGTGCATATTAAGGGAGCAGATTTGAAATAATATTTATACTTAACAAGAAATAATTAAAGGTAAGTGGATTTTTGAATGATACAATTATATCATGATCACTTAACAATTTTAACTTAAAATTAGATGTATTATTACAAGCTTTTATTTAGCTTGCGTTATGTAAATAAAAGTATGTAGGTATGTTCGTATGTTGATGCAATTATCCTCAATCCTCAACCGACTGGGATAAAATTTTCCATACACGTTTATTTTGGATGATAGTGCATAGTTAGCTGAGAGTCGTCATTGGATAATAATGGTGGATAGCCTAAGATGTGTACTAGATATTTATTTTTAACATAATATGCGTAAGTACCTAATCGAATTAAAGAAGTTGCTGAGAAAAATACAGAACAATACGATAATAAACTAGCGTCTGCGTTTAATCCTCCGAGGAGATGTAATTTTACAAAGGTTTTTTGTATTTATTTTATTATTTTTTTAATAAATTTATTGTAAATAACAAGAAATAATCATTGTAAAAAAATAGGCACTCTATTGTTGAATTTTCGTCAGACCAACTAATCATCGTTCATTTTTTTAGGTTCAATGGGGAGACCTAAAGATTTACGCATATGGGAGCACTACCGTACTTTACCAAACAAGTCTGTTTCTTGCAAGCTTTGTAATAAGGTCTACAAATTCAGTAATGCTGCCAAAATGCTTCAACATCTTATCACTTGTCCAAAATCTCCAGAAACATTAAAAGACTCTATGAAACTTATAAAAGATAGCTCGTCCAAAACCAAAATGTCTGGACTGTCAGAGATAGAGACAAATGATTCTTTTATAAGCCCCTCGTCGTCTGCTAACACTACAATAAATGCTGAGTTTCAAGACACCGATGATCATATAAAAACAGAATTAGCGAGAGCTATATTTGTAACAGGGACGCCATTATCGATGGTGCAACATCCTTTATGGATACAATTTTTCGAAAAATTGCAACCAAAATTTAAAATACCTTCACGTAAAGCTTTAGCGACAAAATACTTAGATAAAATATATAGAGAAATGCGTTTTGAGTTAAATGAGGAACTAAATGCTTGTAGTTACTTACACCTTCAGTGCGATGGCTGGTCTAATTTAAGAAATGAAGGAATAATAAACTTTCTTATATCAAAACCTCAACCTGCATACGTTAAAAGTTTGAATACAGAAAGTAATCCTCACACTAGTGAATACCTTAGCCAAGAAGTTGAAAAAGTAATGAAAGTGTATGGAGCAAATAAGTTTCTTGTACTTATTGGCGATAACGCTAGAAATATACAAAAGGCATTCGAATTAACAAAACTCAAATATCCACATGTTGTTCCTCTCGGTTGCTGTGCACATATCCTTAACTTGTTGTGCCAAGATATTGTAAAGATACAAGAAGTAACTGTGTTTATTATGCAAGCCATAAATATAATAAAAACTGTTAAAAGGAGTCAACGATTAAGTTCCTTGTTGATAAAATCAAGGCAGGGTGAAGATTCTACACAAACACTAAAATTGCCTTGTGCTACAAGATGGGGAAGTCATGTTACTTCGTTAAAAAGTTTGAAAGCAAATAAGATAGCTTTGCAAATATTAACAGTTAGAGAAGATGTGGTAATTTCAAGAGATATTAAAGATTTAATTCTAAGTGATGATTTCTGGACGAAGACAGGGGAATGTATAAGTATTTTGGAACCAGTCACTGAAAGCATATTTTACTTAGAGAGCGACCAGAATCGTTTGCATCGCACATACATTACATTTAGAGATGTACAAGCTAAGATACGTTTTGCATTAAATGAGATTTCGACATTGAGCGAAGAAAGCAAACAGCAGATTCTAACATCAGTATCTTCAAGATGCAATATGGCAATGAGGCCAATACATTTTGCAGCATATATTCTAGACCCCAGGACTCTAGGAGTCGAACTTACTCAAGAGGAAGAACTTAAGGGTATGGAGTTTATCTACAATTTAAGCCAACACTTAAGTTTGTCAAATGTAATGGCAGATTTGGCGTGTTATAAAGTGTATATTTTATTTGTGTATATTTTAAAGTGGTAGAGCCACGCTGTAATACCATATGGTATTGCAGCATGAATGGGCCGGCTCGACCGGGGAAGTACCACACCCTCACAGAATACCGACGCTAAGTGGCCGCACTTTTAGTGCGACCACATTCCGTATGGTGAGTGAGGGAGTCCGGAGGCCCATCCTATACCCATCCCCTTCCTTATCCTAAAATCCTCCCCCAACTCCGTCCCCCCATCTTTCAATACCATGGCAGTGGAATTTAAAAAAAATAACGTACCCCAGGGAGGTACCAGCAGCCATGTTGCTGGAGAATCCTCCCTCGAGCAACCACGCTCGGGCTGCCCTGCGTATTCTGGGGGGGGCAAAATTCCGCTCTATGGGACCAAGGGCAAACAGAGCAAGACTTCTGCGGCATCCCCTTTGCTCAATGTGAGCCTCTGTAATATTAGGGGAATTCATTCAAACCTGAACGCTGTCCACCACCACCTAGAAACGGCGCGGCCGGCATTGCTCTTCCTCACGGAGACACAGATATCCCCTCCTAACGAAACATCATACCTGACCTACCCGGGGTATAAGCTTGAACATTGTTTTGTTTCGCGTGCCGGTGTATGTGCGTATGTCAGAGAGGATATCTGCTGTCGACGCCTTGGGACTCTTGAAGGTACGGACCTGTCCATTCTATGGCTGCGCGTAGATTGCAATGACCATCCCCGCATCTATGCGTGCCTATACAGGTCCCACAGCGGTAACACTGGAACCGACCAACTCATTGAGCACGTCCAAATGGCTATAGATTCCCTGCTTGAGCAGATTCCTTCCGCTGAAGTCGTGATTGTTGGCGACTTTAATGCCCACCATGCCGAATGGCTTGGTTCGCGTACAACCGACTATGCGGGAAGATCTGTTCATGACTTTGCTTTGGCTTATGGTCTGACACAGCTTGTTTCCTCGCCTACGCGAATCCCTGATGTATTGGACCATTCACCTTCACTGTTGGACCTTCTGCTGACCACCCACCCAGACAACTATGTGATCTCCGTCGAAGCCCCGCTTGGATCGTCGGATCACTGTTTGGTGCGGAGCGAAGTGCCTCTTACGAGTCCGACTCCACCTCGTTCTACGGGTAGACGTCGCATTTGGCACTACAGGTCGGCAGATTGGGATGAGATGCGGATTTTTTTCGCATCTTACCCATGGAGGCAGGTTTGCTTCACACTGGATGATCCCGACGCCATTGCCGATTCCATTGCTGATGTGGTGCTTCAGGGAATGGAATTATTTATTCCTAACTCTGTGGTGCCCGTCGGCGGGAAATCCCAGCCCTGGTATGGAGCCTCCTGTAGAACAGCATCTCGTCTGAAACAGGAGTGCTTCCTAACCTGGGCTAAAGGTGTGGCGTCGCGAGATCCTAACACCAGTGCTCTTAAAAAGAAGTATAACTCTGCCTCTAGGTCTTTCAAAAGAGTTATAGCCACAGCGAAGTCAGAGCATATTAGTAGAATTGGCAAGAGATTGGCTAGTTTGCCCTCTGGGACTCGAGCTTTCTGGTCTCTTGCCAAAGCTGCACAAGGGAATTTCTGTAAGTCATCTTTTCCACCTTTGCGCAGGGAGGATGACTCGTTGGCCCAGAACGCTAAAGAAAAGGCCGATCTTCTTGGATCCATCTTTGCGTCAAACTCGACATTGGATGACGGGGAGAAACCACCACCGACCATCACGTGTTGTAGGAGCTCTATGCCTGATATTAAATTCACGCATAGCTCAGTGCGTAGAGCACTTTTCTCCCTCGAAATCCATAAGTCGAGTGGGCCTGATGGTATTCCTCCAATTGTGCTTAGGACGTGCGCACCAGAGTTGGCTCCGGTTCTTACGCGTCTTTTTCGGCTTAGCTACTCATCGGGCATAGTCCCAAAGTTTTGGAAGACTGCTCTGGTGCATCCGATCCCTAAAAAGGGAGATCGCTCAGATCCAGCTAACTATAGGCCCATAGCTATCACTTCCTTATTCTCGAAGGTTATGGAATCCATCATTAACCGTCAACTGCTCCGGTACCTAGAAGAGCACCGGCTGATCTGTGATCGCCAGTACGGCTTTCGACAGGGACGTTCGGCCGGTGATCTTTTAGCTTACTTAACACACCGATGGGCAGTGGCAATCGAGAGTAAGGGAGAGGCCTTAGCAGTTAGTCTGGATATTGCGAAGGCCTTTGATCGGGTGTGGCATAGAGCGCTGCTTTCAAAGCTACCTTCATTTGGGTTGCCTGCGAGACTGTGCATTTGGGTCGCCAGTTTTCTCAAGGAACGTAGCATTAAGGTCGTAGTCGACGGTGCATGCTCTGATTTAAAACCTTTGAATGCTGGTGTCCCGCAAGGCTGTGTACTATCTCCGACTCTGTTTCTTCTGCATATCAATGATATGTTACAGATAAGTAATATTCATTGCTATGCGGACGACAGTACAGGAGATACATTATATACCGGTCATGCAAAGATCTCGCGGGCACATACCGATGAGTGCCGGAATAGACTTGTGTCTGAAATCGAAACTTCACTCCATCAAGTTTCGATCTGGGGTGAACAAAATCTTGTTCAATTTAACCCCAAAAAGACACAAGTCTGCGCGTTTACCGCAAAAAAGACGCCGTTTGTCGTATCTCCTCACTTTCAGGGCACTTCCCTTGATAAAAAGTCAAGTCTAGGAATTCTGGGCGTTGATATATCTTGCGACGTCCAGTTTTGCGGTCATCTGGAGGAGAAGGCTAAGATAGCTTCCAAAAAGTTAGGAGTGCTCAATAGGGTGAGACGATATTTCATGCCAAAACACCGCCTGAAATTATATAAAGCCCAAGTCAGGCCGCATATGGAATACTGTTCTCACCTGTGGGCAGGAGCGCCACAGTACCAACTCCTTCCGTTAGACCGCATTCAAAGTCGGGCGGCTCGAATTATCGATAGTCAACGCCTTACTGTCCGGCTTGACCCATTGAAACTGCGCAGAGATGTTGCATCTCTGTGCATCTTCTACCGAATTTATCATGGGGAGTGTTCTGAGGAATTGTTCGGATTGATACCTGCTGCTGATTTTCACCACCGTACAACCCGCCACAAACTAAAGTTTCATCCCAATCATCTGGACGAGTGGCGGTCTTCCACCGTGCGTTTTTCAAGGCACTTTCTTCCACGCACAACCATTCTTTGGAATCAACTTCCAGCAGCAGTATTTCCGAACCGATACGACAACATAACCTTCAAGAAAAGAGTATATTCCTTTTTAAAAGGCCGGCAGCACACCTGCAATGCCGCTGGTGTTGTGGGTGATCATGGGCGGCGGTAGTCACTTACCATCAGGTGAGCCGCATGCTCGTTTGCCCCCTGTGTTGTAAAAAAAAAAAAAAAAAAAAAAAGTTATAAAGCTAAAGAAAACTTTTGGGCCAGAGGATTTGTATGGAGCTCATTAGATAGCATTGAGCCCCTAATATGGTGGAAAGGTATTTGTGGTTCCACTGAGTTAAGCAAAGTAGCGATTCGTATTCTATCAGCTCCCTGTACTTCGGCAGCCACTGAGCGTTCCTTTAGTATCCAAGGCTACATACATAATAACAAAAGAAATCGACTTACAACTGAAAGAACTGAAAAAATTTCATTCATTTGTTATAACTGGAATCTTAAACATAAAGCTGAATGCGAGGACATTCAGTTTAATGAAGAAAATACCTTAGAAGCTTTCATTGAGCAAGTAAATGAACATAACAGTTTAGACGAAATAGAGCCTATCGAACCTATACAATTCATCGCTTGTAATAACTCTGAATCTGACAGTGATTGACTGTAGTTTTACATTTTACTTTCATCTCTTTCTTAATAAACTCAAAATCAAATTAAAAGTTTTTTATTCTGTAGGCTGCATAATAATATTGTCTATGTCCAGTATAGTGGACGTCTTGCGGCTGAGATGACGATGATGAAGTACAAAATCATAAACACCCAAAAATTTGGGTGTTTATGGGGTATTATAAAAAAAAAAAAACTTTATTTAACTTTTTTATTAATCATGTACGTAATGTGAATATTTATAAAAATTTGCGGCACATATTTTTATTTTATGGTTCAATTTGGTAATTTGTTCAAAATATCGTACCCTATACAAAAACACATGTATTGTTTCATAATTTGATATCGTATACAAAATCGTATATATATATATATATATATATATATATATATATATATATATATATATATATATATATATATATATATATATTTTGATTCTACTTCTCATCTTGGACGGGAATGATTACATTATATTATTGGTATGATAAATTCGTTACGTCTATTTATTTACATGAACATTTACTCCGAAATATTGTCAATCAAACTAGTACTGTTCTCTGTATTTACACTTAAAAGACAGTTTATTCTATTAGTAATATAATTTGGATGATTTATTTGCTACCAAAATGATTTACACATGTTTCATCAGTGAAACGTAAGTGTTGGCGAAGGCTCGAGCGATCGTTTTCGGGTGGCCTTGCAATACTGGCGGCGGGCGCAGTAAACGTAGCCGCTGCATTAACATTACTATTATGACGTCACAAGGGAAACATAAAACCGCTTCCGAACAACATTATATTACATATTTACAGTACAATATTTATATTTGTATATTTTATCAGTTTTGACACAGTCATGTAGTCGTTACGATGTTGGTTGTGTCGAAATTCGGACAGATAAAATATTTATTAAATAGGTAAATAGGTATTTGCTATGCTATTTTTAACCTTATTTAAAGGGAGGAGATTCGAAAATTGATTGTTTTTTTTTTATGTGTACACATTACGTGATTTTATTTTGAAAATCTAATGTAATAATAATAAACAGAATTTGTATACTTAAATTTTTTTTTCCAACCGGTTCCAAAAATGGTAGTGGGTTTCAATACAGTTATTTTTTTTTTATGTTAGTTACCTCATAACTTCGTTATTTATAAACCGATCTGTATCTTCTTTTTTATCTAAAAGTATGTACTATATTATGCTTACACAGATATTTTTTTTTATACAACTTAGAATGTCAAACAAGACGCCCCACCTGATGGAAAGTTGTAACCGTCGCCTATAGACATGAGCAATACCATGGACATAACAGAGTATCTGTTTTAACGCGTTGCCACTCCTACTCTATTCTATTCAGTAAATTAATTCTTTCAAACCGAAACACAGCCATGTAAACACAACTGCTTCACGGTTGAAACACGAATGGGACAGAGGTACCCGAGCAATCGACTTTTGTACAAAGTCTCCCTCTGGTAATTATTATTATCTGGTAAATATCTATTATTTTTATATTATTTTTACAGATCTATTTTTTTAACGCGTCATCTACCTATTTATTTTTTAATTCCTTCCACCCAAAGATTGTCTGGAAGAGATTGCTTAGCAATAAGACCGCCTTTTGTACTACACTATACTTATCGAAATTTGTTCAACAAATCCTGTAATGTTGGTGCAATAAAGTTTTAAATAAATAAATGAATATTATCAGATTTGCTCTATCGAAATTTTATCAAAATCAGTTCAGCAGTTTCAAATAAAAATAACTGGTTTGGACATGGACAAAATCCAAAATTATTTTGTAAATATAATACATGCATAATTATATTAAATAGATATAAATTACTCTGCCATGTAAGTTATGGCATAAAATAAGCCACCCCTTCCTTTTCTGTGAGTGTCGTAAGAGGCGATTAAGGGAATTTATGGTCGAGGAATCTGGCAGCAGCGTCCCTATTAAAACATCTCCAAAAGCCTATATTACATTGCCTATATTATACGATTACCAAGCGTGGCAATTACTGGCAAAATCCCCTTTATGGGGGGGGGGGGGGTCTACGTTTAACAGTGGACAGTTAACGGTTGGTATAATAAAAAAATACTCTGCAGGATTCAACATGGGTAGAAGTGTCACCAAATCCCGAAGATCCACCCGACGTTGAGAGGCGGTACACCTCTGAACTGGTGGAGGAGTTACGAAATGCCAACGACGACGCCCTGCTGCTGTACACGGAGTACTCCTCGAAGTCTGGCGAGAGACTGGCCATCTTCCTTCAGGATATGAGGGGATTCGTCTCGCAAACGATGACAGCATTGGAGAACGAGATAGACTTTAACGCTGTAAGTTATTTGTATACTTCTGTTTACTTCTTCATATCTTCTTGATAATAACTAGTTGTATAACGTGACTTCGTCCGAATAGTTTACAGGTGAAATGGATATCATTATTTTCTAAAAGTGGAACTAAACAACTTTTTGTCTCTTTCTATCTTGTAGGTATATGCGGTGGCGAAGACGTGTCTATAATTTAATCTGTTTGTTTAAAGTCGACGACGAATTACTTGGTGTAGAAATAAAATTAATTTAAGACATTACTAGTAATCTAAAACAGTAGCTATTTTTTTAAGTTTGTTACCTCATTTTTGGACTGAACCATTGTTAAGTATTTTTTATTAATTTTAGTAAAGGCGGAAATGCCGCAAGTGTTATGGGGACCTTTGGGTCAGATACGGGTTCATAAATATTACTTTGTCAAATTTTTTATTTTATTTTTTGATTAAAACACTATAGGTTTTATTTATAAATAATTCTTTAATTATGTATGTTCATTTTATACATGTTTGTATGTGTAGTTTTTTTTATGCAACTTATAATGGCAAACAAGCTGACGGCCCACCTGATGGAAAGTGGTAACCGTCGCCTATAGACATGAGCAGTACCATGAACATAACAGAGTAAACTATTTCGTCCATGATACCCCCATGCGCTGCCATTCCTGAGGACTCAGGTGTTATTCCTCTGTACCCAGTAAATTCACGCCATAATATATGTTTATGATATTTTTTTTTATATATAAAATAAAATAGGAAGTTTAAGGATCCTTTGATAAGTTTAGTAATATAGTATTATATTATCTGTGGTAATATATATTTTATTAAAAAAAATCACCTTGAATTTAAAGGAATAAGCCATATTTTAGAGAAAGAATACAATAATATCTTTAAATATGGGACTATTCCGAAAGTACTTACTTTTTTAAGAACAAAAAAAGGAATAAATTCAGTTTACAAATACGAGAATATTACGCAGTAATTAAAAAAAAATGTTTTATTTTGGTAAATAAAGAATATATTAAAAAAATCTCAAATGACGATAAACGACGCGCAGTTACTAATAACGTTAATTTTATTATGGATTACTTAAAATATTTGGTCTTTTTTAGACAGAGTGGGGTAGGGGGTGTCAGGGGGCAGTGCCCTACCTTAAAAGGCCTAATACCCTACCTTAAAATGAAAGCCCTAAGAAAATTAGACAGATTCGCTGTTTCGAAGTCACTTAACTATGGCTTCTGCCCTACCAAAAAGTCCTTTTGCTCTACCTTAAACTTGGGTTAAACTAGCTACGACCCTGGAATCATGTTTATTTAGAGGAAAAGTTTAGTTTAAGAGACGCTGCTACTCATCCCTCGACAGTTAAGTTCCCTTAGTCGCCTTAGCACACCCACGTGGGGGGAGGGATTGTCAGTAATGCATACTAGCAGTCCCATTGCTAGCAATATACCCTATCAGGTCGCCCTCCACGTGGTCTCCTTGGAAACCATCGTGCTGAATTCCTACTGTATTCATCACGAGCGACGGGCTAACTGACCTGCCTTTTCATTCTCATCTATCATCATTCACTGGTGCCTCGCCAGTGTTTTTTTTAATGGGTGATAATGGTATGCTAACCCCGTCTGCGCTATCGGTATACACTGGCGGGGCACCAGTGATAGATGCCTAATGAGGATGAAAGCAGATTAAATTCAGGGTAAATTCAACTAGAATTAGCCACGATGGTTTCCCGGGGGAACCACGTGGTCGACCTGACAAGGTATATTGCTAGTAATGGGGCTATTTTACCCCATTACTAACAATCCCTTTCCCCCCGTCACCCCAGTGTATACCGTTAACGCAGGCGGAGTTACAATTACACTGTCATCCATTAAAAAAAACCACACCCACCTAAAAGGAAGGGGTGGCCTATTCTATGTCAGGACCACACGATAATTTCGCTTAAGTATGCAAAATTTAAACTATATCTTTAAATAGTTTTCATTATATTTAGATAGATAGATACTCTTTATTGTTTCCTCCAAAAGATTACAATAGTAAACTTATTATAAATATAAACAATTACAAGAAATAATCACAATGAGAAAACAATGGACGATCTTATCGCTAAGAGCGATCTCTTCCAGGCAACCTTTGGATGGAGAGGAGTAATTATAAACAATTTGGTGGGAAGCATTATGAAAAATTTTATTAGTTTTAAATATGGGATATATATATATATATATATATATATATATATATATATATATATATATATATATATATATATATATATATATATATATAGATATGCATAAAATACCTTAATATAGATTCCTTGTATTACTGGCTCTATAAATAAGATAGGTGCATAGTCCAATCTTTAAAGCTATTGAGTAAAAGCACCGATGCATATGTGGGCCAGCAGATGCAATGCTACGTGAGAACATTTGATATCTATTATGCAGAAATGCAGCATTACACATGCATAATACAGGCTGTGTATGGACTGTTTGACTGTAGTATAGATGATCCTTTGTTTTCGAAAAGGACAGTATCACGTTGTGGTGTGGGAAGCAATATACTCAGGTTGATCTCCACGTGGTCTAACCTGGAAACCATCATGCTTATTCATTCATTCTTACCAATCATTCCTCACTGGTGCCCGCCAGTTTATGCCGTTAGCGTAGGTTGGGGTGTTTTTTTTTGATGAGTGAAAATGTTGTATGTTAACCCCGCCTGCGCTAACGGGATACGCTGGCGGAGCACCAGTGAAGGGTGATAGATGAGAATGAAAACAGGCCAGTTAGCCCATCATGATGAATTCATCAGGAATTAACCATGATAGTTTCCAGGGGAGCCGCGTGGAGGTCGACCTGGTTGGGTATATTGCTAGCAATGGGATTCTCAGTCTCCATTACTAACAATCCCTTTCCCCCCACGCGTAGGTTGGGTTACCATTCTATTATCATGCATTTAATAACCCTTTTAGCAAATAGAAAACACGTGAAAAAATGGTATTAAGAAACATAACTACTTCTTAAAATCTAAAATAATTTTAGTTAAAAAAGAACATACATACATATACAACGCATGTGGGGTATCATGGACGAAACAGTATACTCTGTTACGTCCATGGTCCTGCTCATGTCTATAGGCGACGGTTACCACTTTCCATCAGGTGGGCCGTCAGCTTGTTTGCCATTCTAAGTTGTATAAAAAATCCAAGCATTGGTACAAACTATTCATGCCTGTAATAACAGAAGAGTAAAGCAGGAAGTGGAATCGTAATGTCATCGTTGGAAACCATGATGTAACACCATTGCATTTTTCCGGTACATTTGAACGTTTGCCAGCGTACCTTTAATTTTTCTCATTCACTAGATATTTTAAGATTACAAAAAGAAACAATGCTGATAATGTAGATGTACGATGGAGAAAATATCTTATTAACCGGTCTACAGATTTATTCGTGTTCATTTCGCGTCGCGTGATTGTTTAGAGAATATTGAATCGACTTGCTATGATCAAACGTATGTATTGTTGAATTTAATTAAATAAAAAGTAGTTTTCAATCCCATTCGTGTTTCTACCGTGAAGCAGTTGTGTTTGCATGGCTGCGTTTCGGTTTGAAGGGTGGGATATGGCGTGAATTTACAGGGTACAGAGGAATAACACCTGAGCCCTCAGGAATGGCAACGCATGGGGAGTATCATGGGCGAAACAGAATACTCTGTTTTGTTCATGATACTGCTTATGTCTATAGGCGACGGTTACCAGTTCGGTTGTATTTTTTTTTATATATGTATTTATTACCTCATAATTCTGTCATTATTTAAATTATTTGGATTTTTTTTATTTGAAACAATTTTTTATTTCAAATGGGTCCCATAAAAAGTTCATCGTATTTGGTAGAATAATTGGAAAGTAATTGGTTTAGTCGTTTTATAAAACATTAATATTTAATATTATGTTCCGCAAAAATATATCTTTTCAGATAAAAAAGTTTCCAAAGTTCCGGTTTATAAATGGCGGGGTTATGAGGTAACGCACTTAAAATCGAAAATACAACTTCCTCCTTTTTTGAAGTTAGTTAAGAATGGGATGGTATGCAGGTAGGCTACCAGTAAGTGATGGTAGTTGAAAGTGAAGACAGGTCAGTTTTTTTAATGGATGATAATAGATTGATAACCTCACCCGCGCTATCGGTATACACCGGCGGGGCACCAGTGAAGGATGACAGATGAGGATGAAGTAGGTCAGTTAGCCCATCGTGATGAATTTAACAAGAATCGTTCACGATGGTTTCCAGGGGGAACCACATGGAGGAAGACTTAATAAGGCATATTGCTAGCAATGGGGCTGTCAAACTCCATTGGTAACAATCCCTTTTCCCTCAGACAGGTCAGTTAATCCATCGTGACTAATTCAACAGATATTAACTATGATGGATGGTCGAGGAAGGGCCGCGTGGAAGTCGACCTGACAGGATCAAGGACCACTCTCATTATAAATTGTTAGTAACTTTTCCCTCCCCCGTAATTCAAAGTTCTTAGGTATTACAATCGCTGTATGGATCAGGTATAGAATTAGTCACCTCTTTCTTTCACGTGGGTTTTGTAAGAGGCGACTAAGGGAACTTAAGGTCAAAGGATAGGCAGCAGCGTCCCTCTCAAAACATTATCAAATTTTAACTGCGGTTGCCGACTCACCTACTAAGCGTGGTAACTATTGAAAAAACCCCCTAATTGATGGTGTAGGTACCAATGGGGTAGTATTCTTATTGCCTGTATTGGGCTAGTAGTGTAATAGAGAAATTCATCAGCAGTCTGGTTTAATGCCAGATTTTGTCGCGACATTTGTAAGGTGACCCAATTATAAATTTATCTCCGGATACAGTGGAATTATTATATATTTATTTAGTAAATGCAGAAGATAGTTTTACAAAATTTACGTTTATTATACTTTTGCATATTTAAATTTTTACAAAAGGCAAAATTTACACCTTGCGGTAGTTCTCACTCATAGGGG